TCCTAGCAACACCTTTCAATGAAAAAACAAGATTAATAAATACTGATGAATACAAGTATATGTATGTGTATATATATATATATATGTAGGTTGCCAATGTAAATATTTTATGCATTTTCTGTGCCTACGCCAACTAAATTTTCTGAGAATATGTCGACTTATGTAATCATTTCAACGTTAATGTAGGGTTGTATGGTTGATCAGAACTTACTCATTTTGTAGCTCATATAAGAGTGCTAGGTTACAAAATCCGTGACATAGTTATTGTGTCTTAATACAAATTTTACTTACTAAAAAAATGCCCCTGGTTGTCGAGATAAATTATTAGGCACTAAAATATTTTAGGCTACTACAGAAATAAATCAATTTTATTTGCGAAATCTATTTGAAACAATCATAAATTTGAGAGTATGGAAGAAATATTGAAAACTCGACTTTAACCACCAATCCTATACTTATATCCTCTACTCAAGTAAGACACTAAATTTTCACTATCTTTAATAAATGCTCTTATAATGGCTAGTTGACGAGGTGTTTAACTCATAAACACACATTCGTCTCCAAAAAATACACACAAAAAGTTTACCTCACTTTTTTTTTACAAAGCACAACAATAATTTTGGAAGAATGAATTAAAATAAATCTCTCTCTTATAGTAGATCTTACAAGTAGAAGTACTTTCAAGAATTTCAAGTATGACTCAAGAAAAAAAAGATCAACATCTGGATACAATCTCCTAAATAATTTTATTAAAAAACAAGTAAATAACTAGTACTTAAAAATCCAATAAATTTTAGAACATAATCTATTGAGATCCTAAAAAATCATAAATAGTTGTAATGTTTGATAAAAATTTTCATTTACCTGAACAATTGTAAGGGTTGATAAGTGTTATCATGTACCTTTATATGTCTATAAATATTAGCTGTAAATCAATTAAGAAATATAACTTTTACAGTATAAAATCACATTTTATTATTCTTTCTCTAAATTTTCTATTTTTGTCTTCTCTCTTCTCTCTACTATCTTTTACCTCTATATTTCTCTATTTCTCTCTCTAACAACCTTTTTCTCTCTCTATTTCTTTGTTCACCAAAAAACTAGTCTCTTTCTCTATCTTATTCTCCCTTCCATACTTCTTTTCTTCTCTCTTTATATAAATCTTATTTTTTTTCCTAAAATTCTAATTATGTCTCATATTTTCTTAATTTTAAGTGATATTCAGTCTTTCAAATTATCTCATAATTACTCTAAAATCATTTAAAGTTATATTTTCCTCGAATTATGGGTTTATAAACCACATGTTAATTCAGATTCTGACAATTTGGTATCAGAGAATCTCAATTTTGATGAAACTCTTACAAGTTTCATGACCATAGTGAAAAATAAAGGCAAAGTCATGGTGTTTGGATCGTAAAAGATATAGACATTAGAGGAAAATATACATGAGATGAATAAAAAATTTTCAAATT